CTTGATTGAAGTGAACAGAACTAGGCCAGGTTATCAGTGAGGGGTCTGTCTAGGATGGGCATGTTCTCTGTGCCACCTGCTAAGAAGAAACACACACACTTTCCCTTGTCTCTAGTTGCGCTCTCTCACACAGCGGTTTTGTCTATACAAAATGGATTGTGATGTTCTGCCTCTTCAAGGAATGCCAGAAAATTTTCGGCAAACCTGCTTGTAAATGCATAAATAGTCAAATTTTTGCTTATTTGAATGTTTATTGTGACATGGGAGATAGTCACAATTTAATGTGATATTAAAATGGTTACAGCAAAATCTGTTAAACGATAAAAATAATCGTAATGGTTCTAAAATAAGCATTATTTTCTTTATGAAACATATGTTAATGTTAGGGTGAAATTGTGTTGTCTGGGTGTTTCTAAATGTCTTGTGGTTGTGAGTGAGCTGTAATGAGATGAGTATGTACCGATGAGCGTTCGCTGCAGCTAAGAGCCTCTTCAGAACAAACAGCACAAAGGAACCAGAGGCTGCATAATGTAAGCCATCCCTTCCTTTAATTAACACTGAGCTCGCTTTGTAGAGAGAGAGAGAGAGAGAGAGAGAGAGACTGACTCATCATGTTTAAATATCAATTTCTAACATCAATTCACTTCATCTAACTAATCTACTCCAAACTATCAAGACAAGACAAAACATCTTCAGCACGAATCTTTAAAACTATCGGCTGCATATGCATAATTATGAACCTGTTTAAACCCACTCGAGCTCTCAGTACGGTTGTTATGTTTCAGTCGCCTATCAGGGTTTTATGGTTTGTAAAAATTTAGAACAATAACTTGTGCAAAAAGCAAGTATACAGTACAAAGTTTCCCTTTTATGTTACCTAATGTTCTCTTTTCTGGCTCTCACAGCTTGATTGTCATCACATCTGCGGCAGTGTCAAAGCAAACAGACTGTTCAAAGGCTCATGGGACTCTGACACTGCACCCATCAATCATGACAGCACAGCATCCGTGTGGTCTCCAGATCCCTGGAGCTCAGGCTTTGATCTAGCAGCAGTCCTCAGCCTCCTCCCCACACGCCCCGTCCAAACGCCTGTGCTGTTGATAGGAGTTTGTTTGCCTTCCGCCAGGTGGGTTTTCCTCAGTTTACACACTGCCCACCCACCCCAAACTCTGACACGTGTAAGACATCACAGCTTCTTGATTTGTGTCCTAATTATTTTTAGCCTGTGGTCACACTAGATTTCCAGTGTTCCGTTTAAGCATAACGGTTTTGTTTTGTGCTGCATGTTGGTAAACACTGTGTGGCACTTGCAAATTTTTATATATATCTACTGTATAATGATTATATATATATATATATATATATAAATAAACACACACACACACACACAATATGTTTGGGGGTTTTACAATGTTTTCAATGTTTTATTTGTTGTATTTTAGTATATTTTAAAATGCAATCTTAGAAATCTTTTGTAACATGTCTTTAATGTCACTTTTGATCAATTTAATGAATCCTAAATAGATATAGATATTTTATTTTAGATATTATATGGAAATATGATATATACTCTGTTTTATATATATATATATATATATATATAAGTTGTAAATATAGATTTGCAATTTCTATACAAATATACACTGAACAAAATTATATATAATTAATTAATGATTTATTTACAAAAAATATTTAAATTTTATTGCTTTTAATTATATTCTCTACTCATTTATTTTAACACATTTTTGTTATTATTATGATTATTATTATTTACAATTTATCCTGTCATATAATATATGTAATATCCTGTTGCCCACATTTGTTGCAGAAACCAACGCTATTTCTAGTGTGAACGCTCCCTTAGACTAACCATGTTGATTTGACAATACTGAATTCATTAATGTTTACACATTTTTGTACATGTCAAAGATTCTCTGTATTTCATCAGTCAATATTTGTTGTATTCTGTTAATATAGATTAACATTTTTTAGGTTACACGATAAATAGTTTTTACAGTACAATTCAGAACAGTCAGAATTACAAAGAGTCGGACTATATGAGTCACAGAAGTCAAGAACTACAGTATATGAATCACGCTCCTTCATTCATGTTTTCCACGCCTCCTTAAATTCAGAAGTTGCTCACCACTGCTTCTATCTCAGGCTTGTGTAAAGCATGTGATCCTGTCACGGGAACCTCGTCCTTTAGTCCATCTGATGTGTGTCGGCCACATGTGACCCAAACCCCAAAAGGAAGGATGGGAAATTTAGACCTCAAAGTCCTTCTGGGTCCTAAAAAAAGTGCACAATCCCACACACAGAAAAATTGGTATTAAGTAGAGTAGAATATGATCCACCCATCAAACTTAAAGGGGTCATATGACGTTGCTAAAAAGAACATTATGTTGTGTATTTGGTGTAATGAAATGTGTTTATGCGGTTTAAGGTTCAAAAAGCACATTATTTTCCACATAATGTACATTATTGTTTACCTTGTTTTCTCCTGGCATTCCGTGACAATGTCTGCATTTGTGATGGGAGAAATGACAAACAGCAAGCGCTTCTCTACACTGCTCAAAACTCGCGTTTGAATCATCAGTGGCAAATCCTTTAAATATGAAAATGTACTTACAGTCTGGCATTGTAGTCTACTCTTCCAGGAAACAGTCCTCCATAAAATGCGTCACTGCATCCCACACTGCGGGCTGAGTGAGCAGCGGCCGGCGGACTTGAGAACGGCGCGGTCGGCGGATTCGACGAAGGAGCGTCCGGCTGGCTTGCGCCAACCACATGTGATGACCCTGGGCTGGACTCCGCTTCGTCCATGCTGAAAGCCGTTATGGAAATCTTCCCACACAGTGTCGTAAACATGTGGGGGCGTGTTTAAACGAGGCGTTTTAGGAGGGTGTGGACAAGTCTTAACTTTTATAAAGAATATCTCTTTGGATTTGAGACTTTAGTCTTTGCAACTTTACAGATCTTCTTTATGCACCAAGAGCTTGTAACACTCCAAAGAGAAAGGAAAAATTGAAATCGCATCATATGACCCCTTTAATGAAATCTGCTGGCCTAAGACGCCTCAATCTAACGCTTCAAGGGTGCCCAGACGGAGAGATCATCCTCTTGAGGGCTTTTACTGTAATTTAACCATGAACCCTGAATGTGGGACAAGGCTCACATGACACTGAAGTGGGACGAAGAGAAGGAAAACATCCTGTAGGCCAAGATCTCCCTAAGTGGAGTCCTGAGACTGACTTCAGACACACACCTTTAAGACTCATTCAAGGAATCAAAGTGAATCCTCTTAAGAAACGCAGCTATCCACACTTTCTCCACATTAAGTCTGGAATATACCTGACCCATATAATTATAAATGGGCTCACATGCTTCTTTCACCAACGTCAGTTCTATGCCCCACTGCATTTAAGCTCTTTGCAACTGTTTAATTGTTTGCAATATAGTAAAAAAAAAACAAGGCTAAGTTATTTTATTGGCTTTTCAGCACTGCATTTCAATTGCATTTAAAATGTTCAAAAGTGATTTTTTTGTTGTTGTAATTAATAGTTTTATTTGGAAAGGATGCATTAAATGAATAAAGTGCAAGTAAATACATTTACATTGTTGCAAAAAACAACAACAACAACAACTTCAAAATAAAAATTCTTCAAAGAATCCTGAAAATCCTGTTTCCACAAAAATATTAACCATCATAACTTTTCAACATTGATAATAATAAGAAATGTTTCTTGAGCAGCATATCAGAATGATATTGCTGGAGGAAAATTCAGCTTTGTGTCAAACAAATAAATTACATTTTAAAGTATATTAAAATAGAAAACAGTTATTTTAAATTGTAATAATATTTTGTAATATTACTGTTTTTACTTTATTTCTGATCAAATAAATGCAGTCTTGGTGAGCATAAGAGACTTCATTAAAAACATCTTAAAAATCTTACTGACTCTTCTCTTTTGAATGGTATGTTTATATTAGTCATGTTGTAGTAAATGATTAGACTTTATTTTTAAAAAATTAATAAATATTTTTTATATTTAAAATGATGTTTTTAACTTAATGCTGAAATGCGGACTGTGTATGTTTTTTGTTTGAATGAACAATATCAAATTTATAGAGCACCGCTTAATAGAATTTAATCAGTTGAACAATAATGTACATAATGCCATGAAAAGAGGCACAAATTGTTTCGTTTTATTTGTATATAAAATTACTATTGTTAATTTTTGTTAACAATGTTCTTTCTAAATAAAACCAGAAAATTGTCATTATTTTATCATGGCGACTCTGAAAATGCATGTTGACTGTTGTATATTTTAAAACTATAATAATTCCCATTTTTAGAATATTTATTAAATAGTTCAATGTTAATTAAAAATTATTTGCAAATATATATATATATATATACATATGTATGTATATATATACATATATATATAGCGCACCTGTAAAATGACTGGCTTGTGCTCTTATAATATTTGGTTTTTCATGTGCAGACAGATAAGAGAGATTTTAGGAAATACTTTTTGGTGTCCTGTGGACGTTTTTGTTCCTAACTCCTGCCAGTGACATGGCTCTCCTCACACACAGATCTTTTTGTGTGCAGAACGTCAAAGAGAATATGAAAAGGTATGTCTCTCATATGAATATCCCCATGACGTGAGAAGCTGCTCATTTTCCATTTGCTGTCAGGAGGAAGATTAACTCGCCACCCCTCCTCCCCCTCTTCAGAACCTCATAAATAGCAAAGCGCACAGTCTCATTGTATTACAACAACTGTATCACATACTGCTAAAAGACTGACAAACTCATTTTAATAATAAGAAACATCAGCATGTACTCAACTAAAAGCGAGGGACCGCGCAGAGGAAGATCTTTTGACTCCATGAACCTTGGTCTGACATTGGAAGAGAAGCAACTTAACAATGAGGTAAGTGCTTTTTCTCCATCATTTTAAAAGACAAACTTTTTTTTACTCATTTGGATTTGCGTTTTGCATACATTTTATAATTATGTTATCTTTTATAATTACTCAGGAGAGAATTGAAGCTTTCAACAGGTGGAGTCACAAATAAGTTTCTATGCAAAAAAAAAAACATTTCCAGGAAGCATAGATTTCTGAAATGACAAATGTGGAGGAAACTGAAGTTGACAGATGCTGTGGTGCACTGCTATCCAAGTACATAAAAGCTATCCATTCAGTTTTACGTGTAACACATCCATGCTTGACACCGTTAGCAATAAGGTGTTCCAATCTTCCTAGCACCAAATCTAAAGATGCATCAAATTAAGTACACTTAACAGAGATGTGCGTGGAAGAGTGATTAATTGCAGCCTAATCCAAACAAGAGGGCGCTAATAATAGGCTTCCACGCTCTCCAAATGAGATTGTTTTAAGACGACAGACACTGGTCCGTCTATGTTAAACCGAGACAGTGAATCGCAGTACTCTGAACCTTGCCATGGTCAATTCACTAATGCTGTCGGGAATCCTGCTGTGGGGAAGACGAGGACAGGGACGATTACTCTCCCACATGCGCGATAAAAGAAACATGGTCAGTAGACGACAAGCTTTGTTTGAGGGTCAGTTAAAGCTACTATTTTGTAGTTTGTAAATGAAATTAAATTATTAATGAATAATTTCTATATGGCTTAATATTAAATAAAAAGTAACGCATGTTTAATGTAATGAATTTGAAGATTATTCATTTTATTATAATTAATTTATTATATATTTATTTATTTAATACTATTTCATGCTAATTATTTGTTCAAAGATTATTAAAGATTTTAAAGATTAAAGATTATTAAAGATCGTTTGCCATTTTTGTACGAGTTACTGGTGAAGAAGATGATGGTCATTCTCTCATAGTATATTTTGGATGCAAAAGCAATTACATTTATTAAATTAAAAATTAAATTAAATTAAAATATATATGTAAACATATTTTTTTTAATGCGTATGGATGTATGTACTTCATATATATATTTATATCACTAATCATAATTATCGGTGTGATTTCTTGAACCTAATCCCACGTTTGCAACCTTGGGACAGGGCTGGTGGAGCGTCCCTCTGCTGGCGCTTATGTTAAGCAGGTCATGATGAGTGTCGCTGTCCGTGGTTCTGAACTGACGCAGGAGCCAGCACCTTTAATCGGATGACCTGTTTGCAACTGGAGTTTGAAGTAGTTTAAGATTCATTTAAAATGAAACCATCAGTGACCAATATTTAGTAAATCTTTAAAAAAAAGTAGAAAACTACATACTGTAAAAAATTATTATAATTTTTTTTTGTTTAATTGCTGCCTCAAAATAGTCTAATCAAAGTGGCATCCTGCAGTGAAGTTAATTGCAGTTTAAATTTGACTTCTAATAGAGTTGAAACTCATAAAAATGAGCAGAAATTACAGAATTTATTTTGACAAGACATCAAGTAATAATATAAATACATGCAGGGCCTATAAATTATGTGTTTTATAACCTTTAGACGAATAAAAAGAAAGTTGTATGTGTAGCCTTAAGTGATTAAGTGTTGTTTACCACACTCTTTAATCCACATGATCTGATTGACAAGCCATGAGCACATGACGTAGGGTTGGATTTAAAGAGGGCTGATGTTGTTGATGGTACACACATCAAATCATGTAAAGAGATAAATGAAGGGGGAAAAAATCCTCTCTATATCATTTTTAGCTTTACAAATAATTTTGATGACCTTTGGTTACCCAATTCTACCTGACCTAATCTATAAAGTCTGACATTTATTTGTGTTCTGTGCCTGTGTTTTACAGATGAACAAATCTGCTTTTCCAAAGATCGAGGAGAATAAAGACAACAAAATCGCGTCTACAGAGAGGGGCCGGGCTGCTCTTGTGTTCTCTTTGAAGAATGAAGTCGGTGGGCTTGTCAAGGCACTAAAACTTTTCCAGGTGAAGGGCAGATTGATTTCGTTGGGGTTTTCTTGCACATTTAAATATTCCTTTATTTGATTTAAAAAGGATTCAATTAACCATCATATATAAATCAACAGGAAAACCACGTCAACCTCGTGCACATCGAGTCCAGAAAATCCAAAAGGCGCAACTCAGAGTTCGAGATCTTCGTAGACTGCGACAGCAACCACGAGCAACTGCACGAGATCATTCAGCTGCTGAGGAAACACGTGAACGTGCTCGAGATGGACGCACCTGACAACCGTCTGCCTGAAGAAAGCGGTACATGAATATTATCAGATAGATGTGACTTATTGAAATTACTATACAAATTCTCAATATTTGACTGTTGTTGTTTTTTCTGCAGAGATGGAGAACATGCCCTGGTTCCCGAAGAAGATTTCAGATCTGGATAAATGTGCGAACCGTGTGCTGATGTATGGATCGGACTTGGATGCGGATCATCCAGTAAGTGGCGACATTTAATCTCGATTACATCATCAGTGTGATGTCATCATGTTGCTCACTGTCCTGTTTCTGTTACAACAGGGATTCAAGGACAACGTCTATCGCAAAAGGAGAAAGTATTTTGCAGACTTGGCTATGAGCTACAAACAGTGAGTTTTTAGTAACTTTTTAAACATACTTTAACATAAAAGTAACAAGTCTGATTAAGTTTTGTCTCATCCATCAGTGGAGATCCCATTCCCTGTATAGAGTTTACAGAGGAGGAGGTGAAAACATGGGGAGTGGTGTTCAGGGAGCTGAATAAACTCTACCCCTCACACGCCTGCCGCGAGTACTTGAAGAACCTGCCCTTGCTCATCAAACACTGTGACATCCGCGAGGACAACATCCCACAGCTGGAAGACGTCTCGCGCTTCCTCAAAGGTGAGAGAAAGGGACGTCAGTTCATCAAATGTCGGTTTGTTCAGGATTTATAGACTATTTATAGACTTTCTCTATAACATTGTTTTATTTACTGTAAATCATGTGTGGCATCAATACCATATGTTATGCTGTATGTACTCACCAAACCAAGTCAAATCCTTGTGTCTGTTTATATAATTACTTTGGCTCTTGTTTGATTAAATGTGTGGTTCAACAAAAGCTGTGCTAAATGCTTGCAAGTGGAGTTCTTGTATTTTATGTGAGATTTCTACTTGATAAGGTGGTATTTATGCAAGGTGAATGTGTTTGGTGAAAATCAGGCTACGCATGTGTGACCGTTAGTCTGTGCAAAGTTGATGTCTGCTAGTATATTGGCGGTTTCAGTTTGCATTTATGTAATTTGTTTCAAATTGGCACCTTATGTTTATTTATTCAGAGATACTGTCTGATAGATATTTTAGTATATAAACAGAAACAGTTGAGTTTTGTACCTTTGTGAGTCTATGAAATATTTAGTATATACCTACAGTGTATGCTATGTGTTATTGTTTCTTTATTTAAAATGGATGTCTACATGGAGTAGGACCTGGAATAATCTGTATTAATTAAAATGCATGTAAATACTGCATTGGACACGGAAGAATATTTTTACAAATAATTGAATGCTTAGAGTCTCTATAAACTCTGAACGAAATATGCCTATCAGTTGAAGTTTAAGCTGTAGAGAAATGTATTGCTAGAAATTATTATTAAAGAGTTTATATGCTTATAATAAAATAAATATTTGTTTTTCTACTGTAAATGCCCTGTAGTGTAGCCTACCGTTTCTTCTTTTTTTCTTTGTTCTAAAGTACAAACAGTTATGGTCTGGAGGGGCGCTTGTCGGCTCAAATGCCTAAATCTCTATTGAGCCTTATTCATTATTTGTCATATATCCTATCGGACACATATGTAAAATCTTTTAATCCTGTAATTCTATGAATCCAAGGATAGGTACCTGATAAACATGGAATGCGGCTCCAGTAGTATCTATAAACGATTTTTTAAACACATTATCCTGTGATCTCAAACGGCTGTGATTGGTTTATCCTGACCAGCGCTGAGGGGAAAAAACAAACAAATAAAAACAACACCACGTGACCACTCCGTTTTTGTACTTAAGTTCCTTGTCTTTGAATACTATCGTCCTTTCTGATACTTGCTTGTGACTTGTATTTTGCATATATGAAAAGATGAAATAAATTTCAAATGTATACATTTTGTTTTAGAATTAAAATTACATTTTAAAATCGCACAGAATTGCATTTTATATCGCAATTTATATATACATTTAATATTGTAATTTTCTTAAGAAATTTAATTATTTGTCATGTATTTATGTGTATTTTTTTTAAATACTGAAAATAAATATAATGTTATATCACGTATAAAAAAATGTACATTCTACTTTTATCTTTAATTATTATAATTTAAATATAATAATATTTAATTATTTGTTTCAGTACATATATATGTGTATATTTGTAATAAATACTGAAAATAAATTTCGTTTTTATATCAAATATAAATAATTGTATATTTAATATAATTGTAATTTAATTACTACAATTATTATAATTGTAATAATTATTTAGTTATTTGTCTAATAGGTATATGTATATAATATATGTATATAATTTAATATTGGAAAAAAACGTACAATTTTAAATTATTTAATTTTATATAAAAATTCTAATTATATAATAAATATATAGAAATTAAATATTATAAAAATTAAACCGGACTGCTAAGCCCCGCCTACTTTGGGATTGAAATCGTTTATGCATATTATTGCCACTCTACCCACTAACATTTCCGAAACCAGTGACGTTTACATGATTTCAAGGCGATGTCATCAATTTGCGCCTAAATCTGATGGAAGGAGCTCAGCTGTCAAAATGTGTACTGTACACGTGGGTACGTTTTATTTACTTTTCACTGTGCAAAACTTACACACTTGCCAGTAATGATAGTGTCCAATCTTTTAATACGCGAGATTCACATTTGTCCACATATAAATGAATATAAGCAATCTGAAATAATTACACAAAACAACAAAAACCGTGACTTCGCTTCGCAGGGAGCCAACAGTCACGGGCAGCTCGGACAGGGACACACGGAAGATCAAGCCGAGCCGCGGCGTGCAGACGGCGGACTGCAGGCAGAGCAGATCCGCTGTATGACCGGAGGAGGTGGACATTCGGCTGTCATCACTGGTTAGATGGCCTATAACACTACTAAAATAGCAGATGTTCGTGCAAACACTCTGAAAGAACACGTCGTTGGGATTTGTGAAATAATCGTGAAACGGTTTCTGTAATTGTTGACCTTTCATTTGTGGAACAATGCTCTCTAGTGGACAAGTTGAAGTATTACAACAACATTTCTCCACCCAGAATCAGGTGACCTGCTGATGTGTGGACAGAACCACAAAGGTCAGTTAGGGCTCAGTCACACGTCAGAGGTCATAACCTTTCAACTCTGCCCTTTTCCTGGGTGTACAAGAGTTCAGCAGGTGTCCTGTGGTTGGGACTTCTCTGTTATCTTGACTGGTGAGTGATGGTCTTCAGATTCATATTCTGGACTCTGTGTGATAGATTATTGAGAGCCTTTTGCAGACATCAGTTATTTTTGAGATGTTTTGTTTAGAGTTTGCTCTATGGAAACTTCCTCTCGTTTAATTCAGTGCCGAACAACTGATATCTGATCTGTGTCTGTCAGGTGACGACGGTCAGGTCTTGGCGTGCGGCTCCAATGCGTTTGGACAGCTGGGCGTCTCGCCAAGAATAACACACTCAGCAGAACTTGTACACGTGAAGGTGAGAACTGAGAATAAATCAGACTCTTGCATAATAGTTGTAAGTGTGAGGTTTGTAATAATATCATGCTTTGTTCTGCTTGCAGACCCTGAATGAGCCGGTAACTAGTGTGGCTGCAGGGCTTAGACACACATTAGCAAGTACAGGTATTAAATATCAATAAGTAAAATAAATACCAGAATGCATAAAATTTGTTTGAGGTTATTTTTATAATTAACATTAAATTTTTCTAATTATTAGTGTGTTTATAAAATATTGAGAGTAAATATAGATTTTTAAATCACATATAAGAACTTTTATATTTAATAGTATAATTTAATTATTAAAATAATTATAATTTCAATATCACAATATTTAAATATTTGTCTTTGTAGGTGTATATATGTATATTTGTTTTGAATATTGAAAATAAAGATTTTAAAATCGAATATAAGAAATAATTTTACATTTAACAGTATAATTTTAGAATTTTATAGATAGATAGATAGTATAATTATAATAATATTACATTATTTTTATTTATTATTCTAATTGGATATTAAATGTATTTTAATGTTATTGTTTAGATATTGAAAACATATAAAATATAAAAATGTTCTATTATTCAATATTATAATTAGATATTAATATTAATTTTATTTTAATATTACAACTGAATATTTTAATAACATTTAATTACGTGTACACATTACATATGAATATGTAAAATAGAATAGAATAGAAGAATGTTTATATCATTTATTTATTAGAATAATTAGATGTCTTAATATATATATATATGCGTATATTTATATTTAAATATTGAAAATAAATCTAGGTTTTATATCAAGAATAATGAAATAATTTTATATTGCTATTGTTTCATAATTGTTATTATAATTATTATGATTTAAATATAATTACCTTTAATTATGTGTCTTATTTATTATATAGGTATATTGGTTTTAAATATTGAAAAAAAATCTTTAAAATATTAAACATAACATATATTTTTAACATTTTAAATAAGTTTTAATATTATACTTTGTTTTAAATATATAATATATAAAGATATAATTGTAAAAGAAAAACAAATTCCAATATTATAATTGGATAATGTATTTGTAATAGTATAATTGAACATTAAATGATTTTGTATGTATGTGTGCGTGTCTAAAGCATCAGGTTGTGTTTATCAATGGGGAACTGGCCTGTCGAGTCACGCTAAGAGAATGTTAAATCCCCAACCTGTTCCTGCACATCTATCCTCTAAGGAGCCTTGCATTGTCCCGGGTAACGTTCACACACAGTTGTTCTCAAACCTAAATCAACCTCACATTAGGATACATGTAATCTTATAAAAACGAGTTACTGTTTATTGCTGTACCTTATTAATGTCTGTTAAATGAGAAGAAATGTATTTAATTTAGTAGTTATTTATAGCACTTGTGCTGACTTTCTCATCCGCAGGGTTTGATCACGTGACCTCACAGAAGGTTGTTGCAGGCTCCACCCACTGCATTTGTTTGACAGGTGAAAGTACTTTCCAAACTGATTTTGTCTTCTACCTCTGAATGGTAAGGATAGAGACAAAGGATCTTGGAGTTCCACCGAAGCATTTGAATCCCATATTTCTAGTCAAAGGTGACGTGTTCCTCTGGGGAAGCAATAAACATGGTCAGCTGGTCAGCGAGAGCCTTTTCCTGCGGCTTTGGATCGATCTCTGCTGCAGGGTGAGAGAGTGATTGACGTTCACAGCGGCTGGACGCATCTTGTCGCAATAACAGGTGAGTGATACTACACACTGTCTCACACAAATCTTTCATAAAGCTTTTTTTCTGGTGATACGGTTACCAATATATTATCTATTCACAGAGAGTGGGCGGGTCTTTACATGGGGCAGAGCTAATTACGGACAGCTAGGACAGACCAATCTGAGTACACAAAAAGAGTCTGACATTGCAACAAGCTCTGGCCAAAGTATAAGCCGCCCCATCGAGGTTAAAGCTTTATTTGGAGCAACACAGGTATGTGTTATGTATATAAACGCAGTATGATAAAAGACACTGATATGTAATAAATTAAAACAATTATCACATAAATATGAAAGCCCATTTCTACCACATAAGAAAAAAATCATGCTTTGGTCAATTTTAAATATGAAATTAAAATTATGCAATACAAAGTCAAAATTATGAGATAAAAAATGTTTAATTATTAGATAAAAAGTCAAAATTATGACAGTCATAAATGAGATAAAAAGTTGAAATGAGAAAGAATCTAAATTAAAAGATTAAAATTTCAAAATGATGAGATAAAAAGGTCCCAATTTTGACATAGACCGTAATTATGAAATTCAAAAAATCTGAACTATGAGTTTAAAGTCAAAATTACGACATACTAAGTCATAATTATGATATAAAGTCAATATTATGACAGTCATTACTATGAGATAAATTGAAATTATGAAAGAAAAAATGAAATTATGAGATTAAAAAGTCAAAATTATGGGATAAAAACGTCAAATTTGACAGTCATTATTATGAGATAAAAAGTAGAAATGATGAGATAAAAAAGTCAAAGTTATGACAGTCATAAATATGAGATAAAAAGTTGAAATGAGAAAGATTCTAAATTATAAGATTAAAATTTCAAAATTATGAGATAAAAAGGTCCCAATTTTGACATAGACCGTAATTATGAAATTCAAAAAATCTGAACTGAGTTTAGTCAAAATTACGACATACTGAGTCATAATTATGACATACTAAGTCATAATTATGAGACAAAAAGACATTATAGTTATAGTTATAGAATTATGACACTATAACTGAGATAGAAATTTTGCATCATTATTATGAAATGCAGTTTAAATTGAGAAGTCAAAATTATGACATGCTAAGTCATACGTATGAGATAAAAAGTCACAATTATGACATACTTTTTCTTTTGTGGTGGAAATGGGCTTCCATACATAAATGACTCTTCATCAGCTGTATTTTTATGCTTATGGAATACATTTATGCAGAATTCAGCTGATGTGTGGTCACATGTACACATATATCATTACAATGGCTTTGAACGCAGCTTATCCAATCAGAATTTAGAGCACAACTATCCATAAATACATTTATTGCTAAAATGACATCAGAACTCACTGGAATAATGTTCTTTGCCCAAAGGCCAGAGAATGCAGTATGTATCGTCTTCCAGCAGGGGGCGAGCATACTCTGTACATTCCCACAATGCTTTTCTCATCCTGCCCAGAGACACAGCGCTGATTTAAATTGAAGGTCATCACTTACCTTAGAGAATGCAGCATCTGTGGGCATACATATTGAAGAGAATGACTCAAAGACACAGTATTTTATATACAATCTCAGGTTTTACGTGCTTGGTGCATCACCAGAGTAAACTCAAACACAGAAAGGCATCTTTAGTTTTAGGTTTATAGATATTTGGTCATGAAACAAGAGAAGTTTCAGGCTGCCATTTCCCATGATGCATTGGTATAATTTCCACTAATACGAGCATGTCTGTGTGGACAGCATCCTCCCAGCTCCGGCAGAGAGCATTAGCGATGTGTTTTTGTCCACTAGCAGCCCATTACCTCCGCATAACAAGCTCTGATCACCAAACATTAATAAACCAACCAGAGACGCCCGGTCACCCACTCACATCCTCACGGGTCGTCATGGTAACGGACATATGACTCCAGCATCACGCGCTTGTGTGTTTGTACTATTTTTGAGTGCAGGAAGCATCTCTGCACGGCTGGATGTGTAAATCACCCCTCCCCACCCCCAAACCGCTGTACGCCTCAGTCCTCGTACCCGCTTCCCAGCAGGGAATGCTCGATTACAGGCATCCCGGATCCTGTTACAGGCATGGAGAGAGTGTGTTTCTGTGTGTGATCTAACTGAGGTCTGTCAGGGATTATTGTGTTTGGACTGTGAATAGGTGTTTTCTCACAAATTTCTCTTTTTATTTGGCAGATTGCATGCGGATCTGAACACAACCTGGCTGTTGTGGGTGAGTACAGTTTTTGGTATCTAGTCTCCATGGCAACAAGTGTGGTCTTCATGTATCTAATTTCCCATAAAAATCATTGGAAAGAAACCTGTCAAAGCCTCCGTCACACACTCTTTGAAATGAATACTGGAAGTCAATCACTGCCGTCCATCAGAAAACCAAACGTCAATCACAAATACACCAGGGGTTTTCTGTTTTCTGTAAGCATTATCAGGTGAATATCACATATTTCACCAAAAATGTATGAATTAATTTTTTTATTTATTTAGCGTACAGTGAAGCCATTATTTTCATGACATTCAAGCACGTTGTCCCACAATTGTTTTTTACTTTACCTTAATTTGTTACTTTACTGTAATAAAGCTGAATGTTTTACTTTTGTAAAATCATGATCAAATGTAAACAAGCAAAATCAAATGTTTGTCATCATGAGGTTGAAAAAAAATTATTTATGTAGCATAAATTGAATTATTTTCAAAAATGTCTTTTTTAATAGACTCTAATTACTACAGTAAATCATTTTTGTAATTAATGTATTTTTTAAAAATGTAAGAAATTATATATTTGTAATTTTTTTTTATGTTTTCAATTTTTTTAATCACACAAGCATCCATATTTCACAACATGACTGTTTTATTGCATTTTTGAGCATAAGCGATTATTTTTAAAAAGCGTAATTATTTAACAAAAAATTCTAAATATTCCAAACTCTTGACCGGTAGCGTATGTGCTCAGTTGTCATTAAAATAATATTTTAATTAATTAATTAATGTTTTTATTTTTACCTTTTGATTTTGGGATGAAATATGACCCAGGCATTTTCTTTCCATGTTTCCTGACACCCGGCCGATTCTCTCTTGTGCTGAGGTTCCATCACATATGCTGTTGCCATGGCAATAATTCTATAGTATCTTTAGGTGTAAAGTAGCTTATTATGGGATGTGACTGCTCTGACATTGAGCCTGGGAGAGAAAAAGACAGGATTAAAGTAAGTAAGTCACTAAGCCTGATGGCCAGAATTAACGCTGAGCCCAGCTCTGGCTTCTGTACTGTTGAGAGTTGAACGTCTGATTTCAGTAAGAGGACCGTTTCAGCGCCGCGTCTTCAGCTTTAGTACAGATGAGTATCTGTTCCTGGAGTAATTAAGCTGCCGGCTCCGTGCTGTGATCTTTACTGCTATCATAAAAGGATGCTGGGAATTAGTCCTTGTGCCTTTGTGTAAGGGCATTAGAGGGAAATGAGCCATCACTGCAAATGAATATGAAGTTATTGATATAGAAGCTATTTCTATTGCTCTCAATCTGTTAATTCCCCTGCAACTTGGACTGAAAGAGAGAGAAAAAAACGGTCACATCTTTGACTAATTGCAGGTCCTGTTGTTTGTTTCTGAGCTTTAAAACTGCCCTCTTGCTGTCTTTGCATCACATTACTGATATTATTCACAGTAATGTCATATCATATCATTCACAGTAATATCATATTTCATCCCAAAATCAAAAGAAATTTTACATAAAGAAAACAAATTTTACATAAAGAAAACAAAGCCTTATTTTTAGATTTTTATTAAGATTTTTTTGCATCATTATTATTTTTATGGCAATTAAGCACATTTTGCCCCCAAATTCTAATTTTTATATATATAAATACATATGTATACACATACATATGCAAAATGTGCTTAATTGTATATACTTTTAATTTGTATACATAAATTTTTTAACTATTTTTTTTATTTAAATAGTGAGACATTTACATCAAGGTTATACTATTTGATGTTTAATATATATATATCTATATAATTTTTAAATATTAAATTATATAAATATTTAAAAATTAAATTATATTATAAATTAAATATTTTTAAAGTATATATATATATATATAAATTATAATTAAGTGTTTTTATTTAAATGGTAAGACATTTATACATCATAGTAATACAGTATTTGATGTTGTTTAATTTGTTTAGATACTTTTTTTAATAGTATTTAATTTTATTTAAATTATATGGTAATTGTTTAGTGTATGCTAATTTAAAAAAATCATTGTGTCCAGACATTATTATTTTTATTACTATATTAATAATTTGTGTTACTGTAAGAATTTCTGATTTCGTTCTTTTGCATTTGAGGTGAAATATGATCCACACATTTCTATTCCCATGACTCTCCAAATCAACACTATGACTCCCCGAATGCATGTTTATCTTTTTTCTCTCTAAATTGTGTTAAATGTGGAAGCAATCCCAATTCATTAGCTAGGATAACCAAGTTGAAAAAGAGCCTAATTACCTTAAAAAGAAGTATTTGTGATTATTAAAGAAGTATTGGTTTCTTGGGGATCTTGAGGTTTGTCTTTTGTTCCTTTGTGTGATGCCCCCTCGAGATGACGGCAGAAAATCTTCATGTCTTACGGCACAATACAGCAAAGGAATAACATCCCAGCATGCCTTGGGAATCACATAGCATTCTCTAAGCACGCATGACACTTCTGAGAAGACATTGTGTCACTTCCATCTTTAAAGGGGTCATATGATGTTGCTAAAAAGAACATTATTTTGTGTATTTGGTGTAATGCAATGTGTTTATGTGGTTTAAGGTTAAAAAACACATTATTTTCCACATAATGTACATTATTGTTTCTCCTCTATGCCCCGCCTTTCTGAAACGTGTCAATTTTTACAAAGCTCATCGGTCTGAAAAGCGAGGTGTGCTCTGATTGGCCAGCTATCCAGTGTGTTGTGATTGGCTGAATACCTCAAGCGTGTGACGGAAATGTTACGCCCCTCACCATATTGTTTCCATGTGTCCCGGCGCAACGAGACAAAACGAATAAAACCCATTACAAACGAGGAATTTGTTGCATCCAGTGGGGACATAATTACAGATTATAATGACTTATACTGTCTTTATACGCGTTGCGTTGCGTATCGCGCCTTGTAAACCATAAAACCATGTCTGCATTTGTGATCGGAAAAACGACAAACAACAAGCGCTACTCTACACTGCCCAAAACTCGCGTTTGAATCATCAGTGGCAACGAAAAACACAGCGGCATAGCGTGAGGGGAAGCCCTGTCCCGGCCGGAGTGACGAGACAAAAACATTATAATCCATTATAAACGAGGCATTTGTTGCATCCAGTGGGGACATAATTACTGATTGTAATGACTTATACTGTGTTTTTACGCTTTGCGTTGCGTATTGCGCCGCGTAAATATAAAACCATGTCTGCATTTGTGATCGGAGAAATGACAAACAACAAGCGCTACTCTACACTGCTCAAACTCATGTTTGAATCATCAGTGGCAAATTCTTTAAATATAAAAAACGTACTTACAGGCTGTGAGTCAGAATCGCCAGACTGTCCTTGCAAAGTTGGAACTACACCACTTTATAGAAACATTATGTCCTCTTTTGGAAGGCCAAACAAAGTAGTTTCGCTTTCACAACGAACACACACTGCGGCTTGAGTAAGCGGCGCCCGGCGGATTCGACGAAGGAGGATTGCGTAACACTCCAAAGAGAAAGGAAAAATTGAAATCGCATCATATGACCCCTTTAAATGAGATTAAACAGAGATGCTGACAGTCTGCATTCTTACAGTGGTAACCATGTTCACCCATCTTTCTAAAAAGCTTTTCAACAATGTCTTTTTTCATTATCTCTCTTGTCTAGATTAGTATGCTGTTCTATATGTTTCTGTGGTCTGTAAGTGTGTTGCCATGGGAACAGTTTTGCTGTGCATCATTGACTGAACACAGTAGAGCTCTTGTTTTGTGAATATCACATCATCCACAAAGACAATGATTCACTAAACAAGACTTTGTTGTCCTTTTTATGTTAACAATGTCATTTTTGTGCACTTTTCTTTTCGGTAAACAATTTTTTTGTATTTAATTATTGATGTTGCATAATTGTAGCTCACTTACAGACAAGAAAACAATGAATTTGTAAAGGACGCATGTGTTAAAGTTAACAGAACAGGCTGTTGGAGTGAATAGGGGAATGTAGGCGACAAAACCAGTTACCCTTGAGAAAGCATGCTTGCTCCTGGTTGCCGTGGCGACGGGACCTGTTATGTAACCATGTTGCCGTGGCACATGCTTTCATGGCGATGCAGGCTTGACCACACCCACCAGCTGGACGTGTTAGAGGTGTTCGAGTTCAAGACATTTCTGTCAGACTGATTCACCAGTGTGATGTGTGTACAAGCAACCTGTGTCATGCTGCCTTTTTCATGCACAACAATCGTTTTTTAATGTCCCTGTGAAATTTTTATTTTTATTATTGATTTGGTAGATGCTTTTAGCAAAAATGACTTTTACATTAAAGTATGTTCGCTGAGAAAACTTGGTGTTGCAAGCACCATTCTCCATCAGTTGAGCAAATAATTCCTAAAGAGTCTTATTTGTCTGTCTGACTTTTGTATTTTTAAAACATTTTTATAAAATGTATACTTTTATATTTGATGTGTATTTTATAAAATAAAACTTTTCTATTTTTATAACATTTTTATAAATAAAATTAATTTAAATAAATTATCAAATAAATCATTTGTATATAATTATATTTAAAACATTAAATATAAAATATCTATCTATCTATCTTAAAAGGGTATTTTTATTTCAATATATCTATTAATTTGTAAAAAAAAAAAAAAAAGAATTATTTTATAATAAAATAAATTTAAATAAATTACTAAATTAAATAAATTATAAAATAACACGTATCTATCTGTTGTTTAAATTAAGAGGTCTTTTTATTTTTATAAAAACAGTTCTATAAAATGTATAATTTTGTCATTAATGTTTGTTAATTTGTAAAAAATAAAACCTCCAACCTCTGTTGTGAATCAAGTGGTAACATTTGTCATGGAATATATTTCTCTGTCTCTCTTTAGGGGGTCGGATCTTCTCCTGGGGCTGGAATGAACACGGAATGTGTGGAGACGGTTCCCTTTGTGACGTCACACAACCGCGGCCAATCCCCCATCTCAGAGACGCTACTGCTCTTCTGATTGGCTGTGGATCAGGACATTCAATGGCACTATGCAGTTTGAAGAGCAATGAGGATTCAGCAAGCTGAACAGGTTTGAGCGTTTGGCTCTCAGTCTGTGACAAAGACTGTTTGCATACGTTACGGTTTTAATGAATTATTCAGAAAGACTCGGTTAAGCCATTAAAGCACAGATTTTCGATCAAAGTCTTAGAAATGCAAATACTACCCACGACGGATGCACACATTATGACATTGGGAAGCGCCCAAAATAAAAAATTTTAGAAACAAGAACACTAGGTCTATTTGCAGCTTCATGCAAATATTCATCACTTAAAGGCAGGGTATGTGATTTTTCAAAAACACTTTAGAAAACTGATTCGGGCCGAATCGCAAAACAAACTTGTAGCCAATCAGCAATAAGGGGCGTGTCTACTCGTGATGTGGAGGAGAGCGCGTTCAGTGCATGGGACGGACATTAGCCGAGCCGAGCGACAGAAAGATAGAGATGGCGGATAAAAAACAAAAGAGGAAAACATCTGCGGAACGATAAGGCAAGAAGTAGGACCCGTGTAAATATCGGATCAGCTTTCCAGCGCTGGAGAGAACTCAAAGAGCGGAGGCCTGCGATCGGACGCCGAGGTTGCTTTGTTTCTTCTCAATAGGCGAGTAACACCGTGTCTACAACAGCTAAAGTCTGCCTACACTGGACGCGATCAAACGACCGTTGAAAACCATGAAATGTGTGAATGTTAACGTTTAGCTGATATATTGGTCATTAAGGAATAGTAGAAATACAAATTCTTATTCTCATGTTGTTATATGGCTTTTTTTCTCCCAGTGCATTCACTGATGTATCTGGGCTTGTACATCAGATATCAACATTGGCTACCAGAAATCACTTACTCTGCCTTTAAATTAGATTTATTTAAGAGGCATATTCTAAATTTTAAAACAGTGAATGTTAACGTTTAGCTGATATATTGGTCATTAAGGAATAGTAGAAATACAAATTCTTATTCTCATGTTGTTATATGGCTTTTTTTCTCCCAGTGCATTCACTGATGTATCTGGGCTTGTACATTCAATGGTGCATTCGCAACCACTAAAAAAAAGACTGGAATTCAATGAGAACAGACAAATTCAATCAGATGCTCATTCTGTGAATGAGTTTAACAATTCACTGCTGAAATGGCCATTCATGCTTCCTTTGCAGTGACAGACGGTCAAGGATCATTTCCTCTGACCTTTTACCTCACAGTGACAGAGAATACCCTTAAATAACCTTCACTGTAGAGCCATTAACTGAAACAGATTTACCGTTTTGAAGTGACCTGTCTGAAAGCACTCAATCTCCCAGAATACCCTGTGATGGGGCAATCATTTGATCCCAGAGTGATAATCTACTAAAGACTGGGCAGGGGGAGGTTTAAAAAGTGGTACTATTTACAACTGCATTTTCATGGGTTTAAATAAAAGATTTTTGATATAAGATACAATAAAAACAACTTTGTGCATCAAAGCCACTCCTTTCCTGGTTTAAAAAAAAAAAATAGAACTTGATTTTCAGAAGTCAACAAATTTGCGACGGCTGAAAGTAACTTTTTGTCTGTCAAAAAATAACATGCACAATACATGGTAGTATAGCCTGCTACAGGATTTTTAACCTCGTCATCACTTGAAGCCTGAGTGGCTTCAACATGCTGTCTGTCAGAGACGTAGCATACCTAATACGTAACGCACATGAGAATAAATGTACTCTTCACTCATTGAGATTGACCGGTGTTTTTTATAAAACGTAGTACTGTGTTAACGTGTTTTATGAAATGTTTCATAATTATTTTTGCATTTAATTAGTCAAATATGTGTTCATGCAACTACTAGTATTTTTGTATCTGCACTGCCTTAAAACAAAGCTTGAAAAATCCACAAAACACACAGAATCTGTGTTAGTGCTTTTTATTATCACTATTTTGTTTTTATTGCTTTTTTTTATTCTCTCTTCAGAAAAAGACACAAAATTGCCTTAACAATATGTCAACTCAAACCATCAATGACAACACCTGGTTTTAGATAACTATCCATACTATGCACTGCAATGTGCTGAAAAACACAAGGACGTCTCACAAAACAGCACAAACGTTTGGGATGCAGCCTTTTGCCAGGAAGTTTACTGTGTCCAAAAACTATGCAGTCATAAAGGCTGTGAACCTTTGGAGGCTTATTCCTATATATTTTTTTATTACATACTGTTGTTTGTGCTCTGATGTGGTTGGGTCTTTGAACAGTCCAGCATATTGTATGGAAATGACCCAACATGGACATTTCCCATGATACAACTGGCAGTGCGCTAGTTTGGTCCCAAAGAATTGGGTTTACTTCACATTTTCACAACAATGAAAAATAAATGTCGAAACAAACTTAAGACACAGTATCGGTTCCTTTCGTTTATTCCATCATAAACCCTGTATGTTCTCTATAAAGAGTTACGGTGTTGTTCTGTGCAGGATTGTCTCTTGTGATGGTGTCTATGAAAACCGCCGTAATATGTGGCTTTCAAAATAGCTTGTATGTTCAGACTGAAGTTTCAAATGCAAACTAAGCATTTATCAAACATTTCCCACATCAAACTCAATAATGGTGTTGTCATTCCTTCAAAAAATCCCAATAATGAGTTTGGTCCCAATAATGCGTTAACAAGCCTTGGTATTTTTCCAGCACAGCGTTCCAACCAGGCGCGACACATCAAATTTTCAGCGACAACGTATTTTTATGCTGAATCACAGTCAATCAAAACACGATCGTCGTATATTAAATGTTAAAGAAAAATATTTAAAACAAGTACAATTTTGAACCAATGAGATTTCATTGTGGGCGGAGCCTGATTAGTCACGTCTGAATAGTACGCGGTGCATCTCGAAAGTTACCAGCCAAACATGTGAGCTACAAAATATATCAAACTGGCATTTGTTCTACAGAAAGTAATGTAAAAGTGAACGGTGCAAACAGTGCAAAAGGCATTTTCTACATGGTAACTACAATAGTACAAAATACGGGAAAACAATTGCTAATTTTTTTTCCCTACTCAAACATGATCACAGAGCATGTGGATTTTTTTTTCTTGTGATTAGTGACTGGAGTAACATTTTTACAACATTTAAACAAACACTTCAACGAGATAAAAGAAAGGTCATGTTTTCACAACACCAGCACTCACAAGCACCATGTACAACATTGACACTCACGAACGGAAAAACAACAGGCACTTCGCACAAAACCACAGCACAATAAACCACAAACGAAACAACGGCTGAACCACTACAGCTTCTCTTGATTACTGTGCTACATCTACGCTGAATTAATTCTCAGTCACAACTCGAAGAGAAGTACTAATCCACAACAAACGCACAGCACGCGCTCACACACGCACACGGTACTATCAGGTGGGGGATGTGGCTTTATGGTTGACACACATAGTGGTTGGTACACCATGGTTTATTACACACACTGACTCGGTCGGTTGTCTGCTTCGGTTGCCGCGCTGGGTCTCTAAAAAAACACGAAGAGAAAACGACAACAACAAACAACAAGGAAAATCATATTAATACACCAAACGAATGGCATAAAAACATGGGGGAGGGGGGCGGATGGAGAAGGCTGGCGGGATTGTTGTCCCTCGAACCGTGCAAGCAAACAGGGTGATATGTGTCAAGCAGGTCCTCCTTTACAGGCTCATGGTAAACTCAGGGTTTACCATGCATTCTCCCATGCTGCATTCATTCAGATCTGGTGTAAATCTACAGGTTATTGTTAATACGATTAACTCATCAGGTCATGCTGTGATTGGGCTTGTACGCAGTGGGACGGTGTGACATGCTTGGTTAATGGCATGCTACCAGTGTGCGAAACAGGGCACGATCACCGCTAGTTCTGCCTTGGTTCTCCTGTTTCAATCCCCCTTGCTTTACCGGGAGGTCACACACTCTCTCTTTGACCTTTCCAACCTTTCAGGATCCAAGTGTGATTGTGCATCCTTTTACCAGGATTGAAATATAAGCTAGTAAAACTGATGCATAATTGAAATTTTAAATACAGACCGTAAAGTCCAAAAATAGCTGCCTGGAAAAACAGCTCAGTGATAAAGATGGGGTGAAAGATCAAAGAGACATCACAATACAGGCACAGCTTATTGCCAAGCAGCCGGGGGAGTCATGTATGGATGTTCTGTCAAAGAAAACCAGAGTCTATATACAGATTGGATACAAAATTTATTTCATGCAAGGTTCATATTTACAGTTTTGTCATTCGCAAATGTATTTTTGCATAAAAGTGCATGCATTTACCTCCACCCTAAGTAATCCCAAAAGTACACTGATTTCTTTCTTTTTTAAAAGACGTTTTTTTTTTCTGTCAACTGCACGATACATCTATATTGTATATTTTCTGTATGATTTGCTACAGTGTTACATGTTTAAAAATGTGATATACACGTTATGTATGTATTCCATATAAATCACATTTGAAACGGAATTTATGAAAAATATGGGTTTTTGTGAGAATAAAACCATATTTATATAATAGCTGGTATTGTAATTGAAATTTTGCTCTGTTTGAGAAAAAGTTAAAGTGCTTTTTTTTCACTATTTGCATCTCAATTTGTTTGTCAAAAAGTCGAATGGTCGACTCAGTTGCTGCTACTAATAAATACAGGGTGTTTAAAAAAACACCAGAGATCATAGTTTGGGGGAAGGCAAAAAATGTCTGCAAAAATAAAAAAAACAATTGCTACATATTTTGTATGTCATCGTAAATGATATCACACTCTGCATCCGATATATTTAAAGAAGCTTTGGATGAAAAAAAAATTTTCTTACATATTTTCAATAAACTTACATTGTTTTCTCAGATAGTTTCCCATGCAAGGCATGCAAATGCAAATGAGGTTTCTTCAGTCAAGTTTCTATGTTGGTGACGTGTGCATCACTAGAATCATGATTGTTTAGTGTAACTTCAAACTAAATTTATCATCATATATGAAATACCCATTGTCTCATCTTTTTTCCTTTTAAATGGTGTCCAATAGCACCTAATGAA